AGACTGCAGTGCTGCAGTTTTGTAGAATCCGGGTGCTCGGGCCCGCACCCGGAATCTGCCGGCAGCCAATCAGAAGAATGCGCGCCAGCTGCCTCGCTGGCNCTGTGGCCCTANCGGCCACCNGGGGGATTCNAGCCTCGCTGGGCACCTGGAAGCTGCCGGTCCGCTGCTATGTCAGATAGCGCCGTGACACTAATTCTCTTCTAGCTAATAGCTAGATTAACTACTTAGAACTTAAAGACGATAGGGGGTTATGCGGCTTAGATAATAAAGAAAGAGTTAACGCTCTCGCACTTCGCTCTAGTTAAATACTTTAAGAGTCTTCTATATTATTATATAGTTCAAAATCTACGAATTATAGCTTTAAGTATTTAGTTATAATTATACGTATTAGATTTTAAAATATTATTTATTAGGCAATATATACCTACTCTATAGGAATAACACTAGGATTAGATACGCTACTTAAAACATAATTTCTGTCTTACACTTTCTAGCTAGGCATAGTATTATTAATTGTCTAAGTTATAGTATTTACTATTACTATATATAAAAATAATTCTATACCTATTCGTGACTATATTTTATATATAGAAAGGGAGTTTCTTACTACGTATAGAAAGTTATTATTTACTTATTTCTTTAAGTAGAGCATTTCTAGCTTAAGTAAGCCTAGTAAGAAAGCTTTTATATTAATGCTATAGAGTATAATATTATAAAAAGCCTTTATTTATTATATAGTAAACGCTGATCTAGTCGTGCCTAACTCGTGTAAGATTATTAAGTCTGTTTAAGAAAGACGTGCGCTAAGACTAAACGCCTATTATAGAAAGCTTTAGAGGATAGTAGTAACCTAGTTATTAATATCTATTACTACTACTATACTAGTTATATAGTTAAGAATATACCTAATCGTGTAAACTATAGCTATAAGCTCTACGCAAAAGAGGTTTCTAGCCTTAAAGCTTTTACTAAACTACCTAAGAATATCTTAAAGCAGCGCCCTTAAGATACTATTACTAGAGCTACTAATTATATCTAGTGTATCTGTTATACTAATTCTTATAAATTAGTTCTTAATCTAATTTTAATAAATAATATAGATAAACCTTTAAGTAAGGGTACTATTTACTTAATATTTAATACTTCTATGTAATCTATATTTAAGTTAACATTCTACGTATTTTTTATAATATATCTATATAAGCCTTAATAATAGGACCGTCTATAAAGCTATAAGATTTTTATATCTTAATGTGCTTAACTCTAACTATACTTTGTATTAAAATTATTTCTATAGTAGAATACTACGCCGTATGCTTAAGAACGCTTAAAGAAGAGATTAGGAAAAAGGGTCTCGTTTATATATTAAGAGATTGTTGTTATATAAGTTTATTACCACCTATATTTATTAGTTTTTCTAATATTAAAAAGGTAATCTACGGCTTTTACGTCTGTTTTCTAGGTGTGCTACTCTTTCTTTCTTACTAGTATACTAACCACTTAGACTTTAGATAGCAGAGACTATTACGACTCTATAATCTTAAATGCGCTATTTGCCTAGACCCTAAAAGTTTTACCCGCATTACTCTAGTTTATAGTAAGTTAACGTTATCTATATAGTTATATAAGCTAATAGCTAAGGCTACGTATATTATCGAAACTATATTCTTATATAGGTAAAGTTATATGCAGGCTTAGATAGGACTTATATAGCTTATCTAATCTATAGAGATAGTAGGACTAAGTTCTAGTAATTGCTATCACCTAATTACGTTATTATACCTGCATAATAACGTGTTAAAATTGCATCGCTATGCCTAAGTTTATAGGTGTTTATTAAGCTAATTCTATTTTTAAATAATAGATATCTAGAGTGAAGCTGATTAGAGTATATGCTTAGTTGCGTAAGGAACTATTATACTCTAATCTGCTATATAATAAGTAACTAAAGTCCGCATCCGAGCCCTTCTGTATTTTCTTCTTATCTATAGCTAACAGCAGCTCTAGCTAGATAAGCACTAGCAAAGTATAGAGTTTTATTTAATCCTCTAAATCTGCTGGTTTTGCGTTAAAATATTCGTTCTAGACTTTTAAGCCTATAATAACGACTACTACACCCCGTTACGGAGAGTATCTACTTGTATTATCTAGATTAATTAAGTATGCCCTATTCTTAGAAAATTAGAGAACTCTTAAAGACAGCGTGCGAAGAAATGCAGGAAAACCAGAATAGACGGATATAGTCACGATAGTAGAGAAAGGGGCACGCCGAGCATAGTATAATTTATTAAGAGAGAGTGATACAAAAGCTGCATATAGTACGCATTACTATATGCAAGTGAAAGGATAACTACTCATCTAAAGCGCTCTAGGACACTACTCAAAAATACTAGAGGTTAGAGTCTACTTAATAAAGAGAATATTAAATAGCATATATCTGTAACTTTACTATAACTGCGTCGACTCCTATCTTGCTGCATCTCGATCTAGCCACTACCCTTGTGGTCGCTAGGAAAACCATGGAAAGCTGATCCCCTATAGGGCACCTATACCTTTCTAAGCTATCTTGCCTGTTATACCTCTACACACGATGCAACTAAGTGGTTATAGTTTCTTAACCTCTGTATTGTACTCTTCTTACTTAGCAGGTATACCTTTATCTACCTTTTCTAGAGGTTATATAAATAGGCCGCTCTCTTTGTTATAGAAGTGTATGGTACTTTAATATGTATAAACGCATCTCTAGTTATTTACTAGATTTACTATAATAATTATATCTACAAGATTATTATAGCGCTTTATTAAGGCCACAGTAAGGCAGGTGAAAGCGTTGGCTCCTATCTCAGGTGATTCAAGCGTGCAAGATTTGTGCAGATCCAGCGATCAGCACGAGAGTTGAAGTAGAACCACGACATGTTGTGACAGACTACACACCCATCCTTGGTGTGATAAAAACAGGGGCTAAACGAGTCAATATTATTGCTGTAAAACCAGCGCCGCGCGCCAGCGTTCCAGCAATGCTGCGCTAGTGAGTGGTTGGATATGACGTAGCAGGCATTTCGGAAGAGACATGTTAGTTATACACTCGCTTGCACAATCGGCTTCCGATCTGCGTGTTACACGGAATGCTGAGCCTGCAAGGGCGCCTGCTTCGCTTACCATGTAGTGTACTCTAGCCCTCATCTGAGTGTGAGGTAGCTTCTGCTAGTATGCTACCGACGGCCCGGAGTTGCTGAAGCTCACTAATGTTCGGCCTCGATTTCGATCATGTTGTATCGAGTGTACGCCATAGAGCACAGCAGTAAGGACAACGACAAGCTGTTTGCATGATGACTTTGCTGCACAGTGACTGGTTTAGAGAGTATTACCTAAAGTGCTGTCCTCTCCCAGTTGTCTTTCGCTTTGGCGTCCGCTCCGTTATCCAGAAGCAGCCGAACTACCGCCTCGTTCCCTCTCCGAACCGCCCAGTGCAGTGCTGTCTCTCCATCATCGTCCTTCGCCTTGACGTTCGCTTCGTTATCTAAAAGTAGTCGAACTACCGCCTCGCTCCCTCCCCAAGCTGCCTGATGTAGCACCGTCCGCCTCTTAGCGTCCTTTGCTTTGGCGTCTGCTCCGCTATCTAGAAGTAGCCGAACTACCGCCTCGTTCCCTCCCCGAGCTGCTAAGTGTAGTACTGTTACTCCATCATCATCCTTCGCCTTAATATCCGCTCCACTATCCACTAGTAGCTGCACCACCGCCTCGTTCCCTCCCCGAGCTGCTGAGTGCAACACTGTCTCCCCATCTTGGGTCTTCGCATTAATGTCTGCTCCTCTGCCCACCAGCAGCCGTACCACCGCCTCATTCCCTCCCCCAGCTGCCGAGTGCAGCACCGTGACCCCAAACTCATCCCTCGCTTTGGCGTCTGCTCCTTTGTCGACTAGCAGTTGCACCATCGCCTCGTTTCCTCCCTGAGCTGCCAAGTGCAGCACCGTACGTCTGATATGGTCCTTCGCCTTAGCATCCGCTCCGTTATCCAGGAGCAGCCGCACTACAGCCTTGTTCCCTCCCTGAACTGCTGAGTGCAGCACCGTACTTCTACTCTCGTCCTTCGCCTTAGCGTCCGCTCCGTTATCTAGAAGTAGCTGCACCACCGCCTCGTTCCCTCCCCGAGCAGCTAAGTGCAGCACCGTACGTCTACTTTCGTCCTTCGCCTTAATGTCCGCTCCACTATCCACTAGTAGCCGCACCACTGCCTTGTTCCCTCCCCAAGCTGCCGAGTGCAGCACCGTAAGATTATGCTCACTTCTCGCTTTGGCGTCTGCTCCTCCATTTATCAGCAGGCGCACTACAGCCTCATTCCCTTCATGAGCTGCCCAATGTAGGGCTGTCATTCCATACGCATCGTTTTTGTCCACATGCCAGTAAGACCAAGGCCACCAGCTCTTCTTTGCTAGTAGCACTTGTACCCATGGGAGGATCTCCAAAGTACACGCTATATGCAGCAGCGGTACGTGCCAAGAATTATACCCTCTTCTTGTCTTTTGATGGTAGGTCTCCCACCAGTAGTCTCGCAAAGAGCACTCCTCCTGTAAGAACAGTCCAGAAGAGCTAAAGAGCTTTGGTGCAAGCTCACCACAGCTCTTTGCATGCTCAGGCCAGTGCAGTGCTGCATATCGCAATAGCGGAGACTCTCGAGCGTCTAGCTCAGCGTCCAAGTTAATAGGACCATCCTGGAACCCGCTCTGCGCAACGCACTCAAGGCACTTTTGCGCAAGTTTGAGGTGCGAAGGTTCCACCCTAACTCGAAACTCCTCTAATACTGGATCGCTATCGCGCTCTTGGCGTAGTAGATACTCTCGCGCTGACTGATGGATGAGGCTAACCTTCTGCTTTTGTACCTTTAGCAACGGCCCACACAGAGTAATCGCATCACGGGTCGCTTGTTCTATCGTTATCTGAGGGGAGAAAGGTCGGACACCTGTCGCAACAGCCAGCTCTTGCAGCAGTAGAGGGCGAATAGCCATAGTCACCCAGCGTAAAATCGCCTGACTCACTTCTCTCTGCTTAGCTGGGATCTGCAGCAGCATGCGGCTATATATCGCCGGAAGACCGCTCGGCAGCTCTTCGAGCGCCTCTAAAATCTCATTACACGTCCGCTTCTGTAATAGCTCGTGCATGGCCAACCCTACCCAAAGGAATGTCCCTTTAGCGCGTTTAAGGAGAGCTGCCTGCACAGATGCTCGAAAATGCTTGTTAAACCCGTTGATCTTTGATAGCTCTTTTATCCGTGCAGACACGAACAGTTTAATGTCGCTGATTACCTTGTTGTCGTTGTCGGGGTCTAGCCTCACCCTCGTCATACAGGTTCGCAGGCCAGGTATGTCTCGGCTGACTATCGCTAGCTTGAACGTGCCCTTCGCAGACGACAGGGCATCATGGGTGAGCAGGCTGACTATCCGTGGCAATAGTGGTCTCAGCGTGCTTTCATCACACTCGTCAAGCCCGTCAAGGACGCAGAACATGGTCCCTAGCTCAGCGTCGGCAATGACCTTGCTGAAGATGATCCACAGTGCCTCCAGAGACGACAGCGTCTGATGCATCCTCTCTGACGTCTCGAAGTATGGCAGCGCGTGCTTGGCCAGCTGCGGACGCTTGCTGACGATCTGGTGCAACAGTCCGCGAAGCACAGCAATGCCTGTGTTGCGCTTCTCGTCGTCGGCGCTGCAGAAGAGGAACACCAGCTCTGTATTGTCTGTGCGCGCCGTGCGCCTCTCCAGCTCCTCCGTCAGGAAGACAGACAGCATGGTCTTCCCCTTGCCGGGCCCGCCCGAGATCCACAGCAGGCGCGTGTCGCCGTTACCATCCCCATCTCCATTTCCATCACCATCGCTGTTCAGCCAGGCGCGGTAGCTCGCGTTGTTTGTAATCCACTCGCAGGTGCCTGTTACTCTCTTGCCTTTTGCGCTGATTATTTTCTCTCGGTCTTCGTTGGGATCGGTAAGGAAGAGCGCGTTGCGACATTTGACGGCGGCTTGTTCTGACGCTGGTATCAAGTAATCATGTTAGCTGCAGGTATCCGAGGGAGTCAAGTGTGCAAAATCAGTTTCAAATTTGGGTAGGAAGCGAGCTGGGTTGACTAACGTTCTAGAGTAAGAACACCTGGTATCTCTAAATTGTCTCGTACATAGGCATTGATTTGCACCCCGTTGCCACTTACATGTCCTCCATGAATGCTGATCTTATCTGGGTCAGTCTTCATCGTGTTTTCGACTAATGTATCAAGGTGCTGAAAATAAGCATTCAGACTTTATCGCGGAATAAAATTCCCCAGAACGATAAGTTATCCTTCAATGTTTAAGTAAACGCAGCCTATAGTAGCGGCAGTTGCAACCTCTTCACATTCACCTAATGTACAGCACCCTCAATCGGCCTAGACAGCCTTCGCTGCATGTAAGCGAACGTCCTCGCAATCAGCCACACAGAGCTGGTGCTTAGTCCACATGCATATAAGCGGGTCCAGCAAATAGAAGGCAATGTTAGTTGGTCAGGCCGTACTTGCATACTGCGGGGGAGGTCATGTTATGTCACTAGTAGCTATGTACAGCCCGCACCGTGAAGGCTACTAAAACATCAGCCACAGCCCGTCTAGATCTGCTTCTATATGCGCCTGCACGGCAGTCAACATCGCATATGTGATATATGATGGAGGCCTCCCCTAGTGGAACATAAAGTGCTACAGGCACAGGCACAGCACCCGCACCTTCTCAAGACCAATAACTTACGCGCGAGCGAGAGTGGAGAACAAAATGAAGAGACAATCGTCTGGTGAGTAAAGATAAGTAGTAAAAAGGAAGTACAGGCTAGCTGACGCTGCATGCAGGCGCTAAATTTCAGCTCATCATTAGCGTATCACCGACTTGGCGTGTCCATCCTACGCATGATATCGGGTTAAAAGGAGGAATTTAGGACAGTAGCTATAAACTCGATTCTACAACACGATTTCTTCCTGGCAAACAGATCCCCTCCACGTCATGGCGGACCCCCTTAGCATCACCGCTAGCGTACTAGCAGTTGTTACTGCTACGATCCAGAGCGCCCAGTTTGTCGTTACTTCGATTGATAATATCAAAAGCGTCCCAGATACGGTCAAGGATGTAAGAAACGAGTTGACCGCTCTCGACGATGTCCTCCACCATTTACAGCGGCTCCCTATATTAGCCGCGCAAACTACAACTCCAAGCCTATTAGCCAGTCCAAGCATTACGCGTAGCCTCGAAAACTGCGAAGGCGCATGCAAACGCTTCGGTGAATGGTTGAACCACAAGATGCGACACTCCACTAAGGACAAGACGTCTAAGATTGACAGGTCAAGTGTCGGATTGTTCGGCTTGAGGAAGATTGATGCCTTTAGGGGCCATATAGATAGCTGTAAACTCACACTTCTCCTTGCGCTCACAACTGTGACAATGTAAGTTTTGCAGCATCTATTAGTAAAACTACTTAATTTTGCAGACAATTAATACGAACATGCTAGACTCTCCCAGCCAACATTTACACCAGCCATGAAGTCCAACAAGGCCAAACAATTAGAAGAGCATGAGAAAGATATCGAAAGACAAATTGTCGTGGCAAAAAGGACTGAAGCCAAGATTGAGGAAGAGATCAGGCAGCTATCTGTAGCTCCAGTCATCGCAAGCGACAATGCGGAGCAGGAGCAGCAGGAGCTCTCTCAATCAAACGATGAAGAGTTCAACGAAGCAGAAAGGGAGCTAATGAGCGAACTCAAGCATCAAAGGTCTTCAAATCAAACATATTGTCAGCTTAGCGAAGACGCCCTCGGCAAGACAATGTCCCAACGTACCGGAACCAAGGTGTCGATAAGAGGAGTTACAGTGACAGAACAGGGACTCATAATCAACGGCGTCATATTGGAAACAGGTGAAGAGCTAAATATTCAGCTGGAGATCTTAGAAATCACTGTTAAAGACCAGGGGATCGCGGTAAATGTGGTTGCAGACAAACTAGACCTCAACACAATCCTTGCTGCGCGTAACGAAGCGGTGAGACTTCATGCAGGAGACAAAACACTTGTCGAAGGTAAGAGGAGTGGACATGTTCTTGGTTCTCAAACAACTACAGAGAGCGCTGGACTAGCTATGGTTCAGTCGCCTAATGAGCAGGCCAAGGCTAGCCGCATACTACGCTTCCCTTAGAGATGGTAGCTGATCGGGGAGAGCAATGTGTACAGCCCTTGTTGGAAATCAAGATACTAAATTGAATTGACGTAGCTATATATAGTTATGAGAGAGAGAAAAAAAGGCCTGTTGAGCACATGGAACAGTCTAGAGCTTAGCATCTTTGACGAGCTTGTGGAATGTAACCCATATTGCCTCCAAAGACAACATCATCATGACCAGATCTATCCAGTAGTGAGCTTCTGGCTTTCCTGATCATTGATAGAACCCATGTAAAATCTATTCCCATTGCGGTTACTGTTACAGTAAGTGATGCAGGGCCTCCTGTAGGCTGAGCCTTCTTGATGATACGCAGTGCGGAAGCCGATTATGCAAGCGAGTGTAACAACGAAGGCGTGAGAAGAGAGGGACTAGCAGATGGCTACCTTCACTAACCAAGCTAGCGATAGCGTCCGCTGTATACTTCGCTTGCGGCAGTGGGTGATACTGCCGAGTAAGAGAAGATGGGCAAAGTTGGCGCCCTGGACTGGATAACGGCGGGTACATGAGAAGTTGGCCGCCTAAACAGGGGGAATTAACAAGGGACAAAGCCAGCGCTGCTCGCGCCCGTGCTATCCATCCAACCAGAGCCGCCGGCGAGAGGTTTGCCTTGAACTCTCGCTCCATCCCCGATCGCTTGCACCAAGAAGGAGCGCTCAATGAGACTTGGTATTGAGGTCGAGCCACTGAGCGGTGTGTGGTAAGCTAGAAGTGCAAAAGATCTAGCCAAAAAGGCAATAGCATGTGCATTGGGGAGCATGCATGCGCCTGAAGAACTACGTGAAATAACGTATGCCTTCTTTTTTGCCTGGTTGCCTTGTTGGCTGGTGGGCGGACCCCAGAGCTGCTTCTTAATAATCTTGAGCCAACCTGTTTGAGTGAGCAGAGAGCACACGGGGGATACCTCTGTAGCAATATCAAACAAGCACGTCATCCATACTTTGCTGATTCTTGTCCCGATCAAGAAAACCCCCTGTCAACAACATAATACCCAGCCTCAACCACGCCCTCTTTATCACTTTCTTGTCATCTTCTTTCTAGCCTCAGCTTCGTCCTATCCAGAAATTGCTAACGCACGTCCACGTCGAGTGTGCGCACACGCTAAACAAACCCGCTATACTCGCCAAATTAGCAGACAAAGATATTAGTCTAGCGATCATATCTAGGCATCTAGTCGCAATATGAAAACTGGCAATTCTCTAGGGTCTTTGGAGTACGCTCGGGAGCAGGAAAATCAGGAAAATAGTACTAGATGCAACAACATCGGAGACCTCGAATCAGACCGTGCCGAGAGTTCAGCCCAAGATTCCTATTCTTCCAGATGCGAGCTGGCGGTCAAAGACGATTCTTCTAAACAGAGTGGAAAAGTCTCTTCCTAGGTTCCTGCTAGTACTTTAGATAATCCGAGAAACTTGCAATACTCTACGTCTAAGCCACCGAGCGGGTAGCCGGCCAAATCTGCAGAAAACGCCGAGCTTCAGTCTACGCAACCAACATCTCCTAGTCCTCTAGAGCTAGCTGTATCTAATACGATAAGATTGTACGCTGGGCTTTTTACAGTGGAAGAACATTGCGAAACCCATTTATTGCAGGCTCAAGAAGAACCAACCCATGACCAGTTGGTTGGACCGGTACATTTTGACGAGGTACTGCTACGGGAATATCAAGGCTTTTTCGTTGCCTGTCGACATCCTGGTCTTCAACATTTGCCAGCTAAGCACTCAACAGCTGAGCGTATGTAGAAACGTGGTATTGAATCATTGTTAGCTCTTCTTTCGACGCACCTACCAGATACGAGGGAACGCCTAGTAGCGTTTTTCTGTTCTGCCTATCAGAGGATGTCCTGGCTCCGTCAGACAGCTCCATATCCAGAACACGAATGGATGAAGATTCTAAATCATTTGGAGGTACATCATAAGGCTATGGATGAGTCTACGCGCGCTCGAATTACTCTGAAGTTACACTATCTTGGTATACAAGAATAGCAGACAGACCCTAGGTACCAGACGAATATACCACCATTGGGCGACAGTTAAACGACCTAAAGACCTATCAATTGATTGGTAGCCAGTATTGGCTTAATTGACCTAATGAGCTAATCAAGTGAGATAAAAAAATAGCGTTGAGGCTATACTTGTGCGAGGTTTGGCAGGTAAACATGAGAATATCAGAACAGCATTCATATGAATCCTTGAAACTAATTTCGAGGTTCAGATGAAAGTTTTATACTACACATACTCACAGCCCTACTAGCTTAAAGTATACATAGATTAGTGAGTGGGTAACTAGAGGTTGGATAAGGGATGGATGGTTATAATCGAGCTTGTGCGTACGCCACGTGTTCTCTTATTAAACTTACTAAACAACATCCTGATTAAATCATTACTAGCGTATATTTATGCGATCTAACAAGGCTATCTTATTTAAGAAGAAATCTTCTCACAGGATCTATATATTATCTACTACACATCTACTCCACGATGTATGTAGTGCGCATCCTGCTAGTATCCTTAATAACTATAGCTCGAGCTTATATGTTATTATAGTATCCGCCCCCTCTTAGTAGGAGTATAGAAGCTAAATCTTTAATAATATAAGTAGACAAGGAATTTAATTTTCTAATTAGATACTGTAATTCTTAGGGCGAACTAATATTACCCTCTCCTAGCGATTGTTATAGTTATCTTAATCTTCTAGATATAGAGGAAGGTAGACCGCAAGTTATATAGAAACCTAGCTAGAACGCTTACTTTAAGTTATCTGACTATATGTATAGTATTGGTATTCTAGGATTAACTTACTATAGTAGAAGCTGCTAGGTTAGTTTCTCTATAGATAAAGGTTAGATATAGAAAGTCGCAGCTTTATATTATAGAAACTGCCCTTATAGGGATAAAGATATGCTATAAGTCTTTAATTTTAAAGTCCCTTTAAATATACTAACAGGTATTAACATACCTCACGAGTTTATATGACACACGGGTTCGTGTGACAGTTTTACCAAGACCCCACCAAAACTACTACATTATGGCCCAAAATAGCTCACTTTAGACTTACATAGCGTAAAGAAATATAAGATATTATTCTAAGTCTACTTCTACTACCTACTTATACGTTCGCGTATTATGCTTAGTCCTATTATACTATTTATATCGCCTTTAAGATAGTTTACCCTCTTTAGCGCGTTTTTACTTCTTTAACTTCTTCCTATTACTACACGCACTAAAGTCCTAGAGAGTAGCTAAGTACTCTCTATCTTTAACTATTAAGATTCTTTTTATCTAAACTTATTTTCTTTTATGCGATTTTTGTCGCGTAGCGGCTGTATTAGCTACTTTAAGCTTAGTAATCTACTTTTACGCTAATACTAGCTTATACGCGATAATAGCTACCCCCTTTAAGACCTTTTTAAAAGCCTCTATTATAGACGTTAGTAAACTATCTATATACTTTTAAATTCTCTACTTTACTAGCGTTAATTACGACCCTAATTCTAGAGTATTACTAGAGATTTATAATATCTAGGGCTAGTTATAGGTAGGTAGAGGTAATAAAGTGCGTAACTAAATATTAAGAGCGGATATAACCTATTCTAGGTTAAATAGAACTAATTTAGCGCCTTAAAAGCCTTCTTAGACGTTACTAGCTATAAATAATATATTAAAAGTCTACTTAAAGTAAGAAAGAAACTCTTATTTTATAATATAACTAATCTAGATACGTATAAGTAATTTAACTTAGCGCCTATAAACCTACTTTAAAGAGGTAAGAAATAGACTATATTAAGAGGCTATAGTAGATAAGATAAGTATAGAGGCATATAGAGAA